TATAGCTACTGATATGAGATAATATGAAAATTGGTTTTGTTAATCAAAATGTTTTAAATGGTATATAGTTTCATACTTAGTTTGTTTACAAGATTTGTCATAAATTATCGTATTATATTAAGAATTTGAGTTGGTGAAATTTACTCAACCGGGCTTGACTACTTAATATAAGAGAGTAAATGTTGTCATTTAACGGCAGTGCTGAGTAAATTATACTGATCTTCTTGAGTAAAGCTGTTGTTTACTCTTTACTCAAAATTTGAGTACATACTTCATGCATGTACTCAAAAAAGAGTAAAGATGTGTATTTACTCAAAATATTGAGTTGGTGACATTTACTCAACCCTTGAGTAAAGTAAATTTTGTCATTTACTCAGTGCTGATTAAATTATACTCATCTTCTTGAGTAAACTGTCGTTTACTCTTACTCAAGATTTGAGTAAATTCTTCATTTACTCAAAAGTGGGTAAAAATGTGCGTTTACTCAAAATATTGAGTTGGTGACATATACTCAACCCTTGAGTAAAGTGAATTTTATCATTTACTCAATGTTGAGTAAATTATACTCATCTTCTCGAGTAAAGCTGTTCTTTACTCTTACTCACGATTTTGAGTAAATTCTTCATTTACTCAAAATTGAGTAAAAATGTGTATTTACTCAAAATATTGAGTTGGTGACATTTACTCAACCGTTGAGTAAAGTACATTTTGTCATTTACTCAGTGTTGAGTAATTTATACTCTTCTCTTTGAGTAGCAGTTACTCAAAGAATTTTACTCAAAATTCGGAGTTGTTGTTTACTCACGTTTATGAGTAAAGAGTGCAATATACTCAAATTATTGAGTAATTGGTGCAATTACTCAAAAAATGAGTAACATTTACTCAAATGAAAAAATGCATTTTTTGCAGTGTGGGTAGGTTGTCAGTGTCGGCGCCGGTCTTGAGATGAAAATTTTAGTTAATATTTTGATGTTCTAGAATATGTTACCATTAAGTAAGCAGGCATTTGTGTTGAGAAGCATTTTGTATGTCTATGCAAAGACTAATGTGGTAGATTATTTGATGAAATCCAGCACTTGACTTACTTGATTGTTTTTCTTTGAGATCTTTTAGAATGGATATTTCTGTACTTGTTGTATCCGGTACTCCATCGTCCACATGACACAGATTCTCGGAAAAACATTCAATTGCATAACAGTTCCCATCGATAGAGTAAGCAACATCACATTTACCCCGGCTGCAACACCTTTGAATACATTGCCGCATACTTCTGCCAAGAAACAGTTGTAATTTTTCACCACAGTCACCGTCTCATTCATCCATCAAACCAGTCAGTTGGTCGGTTGCATGGTCAATCAGTTGGTCAATCGATCGGTCGGTCGGTCGGTCGGTCGGTCTGTCAGTCAATCAGTAGTTAAATTCCCTCGAATTCCACCAGAAATTTGTGCTTGCAGTCATTGTACGAACGTATATACTGAGAAAAGTACTTTCTAATTAAATAAATTCGTAAAAAGACCAGCCAAAATTTTTACACTGCTTAAAAACCCTGCAACTTTTTTAAAAAAAGAACTTACTTTGTTCTTCCGAGAAACGTGTAATTTCCTGTCTCAAATCCACCAAGGAGAGTTTTATTTTTATAAACATGTAGCTCATTCAAACTTTCTCGTGGACATTGACTCAAAGATGTTGATAATTCAAGCTCTGTAAAATATTTTGAAAAGTAATAATCATCAGAGCATATTCATCATTAATGAACATATTTACTTTGCTAAGTTGTCTTGTACACTAAGCTGCCATAGTTTGAATCTAGTTGTAAAAACATTCACTTTCTACATTTCACGCGATGGCGTCAGATTGGTGCAGTAACATATTTAGGTCTTGAGTGTCTTCGAACTGTACTACTTTTGAATTCAAGATATTTCAAAGTAGAAAATAGACGTACGGTACTTTATTTCATTTGAATTTATAACTTCAACCATGCATACAACTGGTTGAACGCACTTTTTTGTGTTTACATATCCTTTGGAGAAGTTCGTTCTTATATTGCACTTTTAAACCCCTACTCCCCCTGAATTACATTGTTGAGTCCCTAAATCACATTGTTGAGTTTGTGCCATGACAAATTACCAAATGTTTGGAGGTTGTTCCCAACATTAAAGTAGGGGAGAGGGTTATTTAATATTCTCAATGTACATTTTGCTGTGTTTTGTGTCTGTGTGGTGTCTAAACTAGTATTGTTTTTTTCATGATTGTAGTCTGAATATCCTAGCTACAGTACCTTGTGTGTGTTCAGAGTCAACATATCTAGCAACGTATGCTATTGTTGATATACTTAACGATGAATCAGCACGAACTTCTTGACAGGTAGTTGTATTACCACTGCACTGAACCGAGAAACACTTTTTGCCGTTCATCATCGCAACATCACATGATGGGGTATTGCAACAAGCTAATATACAGTCCTGGATATTACTTCTTTCTCCATTGTCAATTGTTCCTGTAACGATGCATTGAGAGAGTTGGAAAGAAGATATAACTTATGACTTTGATAAGGCTTTGTGAACTGCAGTAGAACTCCTCAGTTTGGTATCCAAAAGGCCATTTCAGGATATCTGATATTTATGCCTTCCCTCTGAACTAGCGAATATTAAAGATTAATTAAAGATAGTATTTTCCTGGCATTTAGACTTGAATGTTGCATTTCCTGCGCTCTGTTTGCTGGGCAAAGTATTAATAATGGACACAAAACAAGACATTCAACACGTAGTTGGGTTTATCTGGCTGGGGGTAACGATTCCCCCCAGGCCCCAGCCGCTTTATTAATATTTAACTTTCAAAGATTAGGATTCATATAATATATCGCATTAAAATGTTCTTAAACAGTTCTGCCCAGGAAAGGTGAGGGCAAAATTACGCCATTACTTACAAAATAGGCAATAAACATTAACAATGATGACAGATGCAGACATGGGGAGGAGGTGGGTGAATAAATTTTGATATCTTCACAAAGTGGTGTTCACTTGGCTGTAGACTGAATGCGACTGATGTGAACCGCATGAAAGTATGTACTATAAATGACCCCTTTTTCAGCCATCTGCTTGATCATTCCGCACCCTAGGGACATTCTCGCCATTTCCTTCGTATGACAATTCTTATCTTACCACCACCTGTTTATCAATTATAATGACCAACCTATCTACCCCAATGTCTCAGCCGGAAAGGCATAAAATTCCTATTAGCAAGCAAATATTATATATAAGTCCTTTTTCTGTCTATATAAATAAGTCTTTTTTCCGTTTATAAATACATCATTTCCTATGTTTATAAATATAATTGACTGAGTAAACCAGAAACAGCCGAATTTTGGGGTAGAGTTATCTCAATATATAAAGCAGTATTTGTAGAAAAATATGTGATACGTTGCCTAACTGATAGTTTGTGTTCTCTTTTTTATTCTGCAGTTAATTGTTCAGTCAACTACAAGAGACGCTTATTAAAATAGCACCAGTCACAATAATAAGCTGGTGGCATGCAACCTCAAACACTTTGCCTTCAATTCTGAGGCATACACGACGCAACATCGGTGAGTGAATTTTAACTTTAACATTTAGAACAATTAATCAAACAATCAACATGACGGACAGTCTCAAGATCTACAGTCCTGGCAAAAGTTATTGTGGACAGCGTGCGCGAAAATACAAATTAGTACCTGCCTGGCCGAATACATGCGTTCA